TTGTGGACAAAGTAGGACAGTTGAAAATGAAAGTATAAGAGTGAGTGAATGTAGAACTTAGCCTGAAGGCGCGCAGTATGCATATACATATAATAACTTCAGCATGCCGGCTAAGCAAACTATATTGGCGGACTCCCCGGGTCTGACCTAGACCTCCGAACAGCCGCTTAGTGAGCTACGGGGTCGTTTCCCCGCTATGAAAGCTGTCGAAACGGGCGAAGCAAGCCATCGGAAAATTGATGTATGCACCCCAGACGGTGAATCTCTCATCGCGCAACGACTGCGCATGTGCATTGCGCCGGTTGGTGGGAATCTTGTTGCCGTCCGTGCGTTGATTTGGGTTGATTGTAGCGTGTTACAGAGGGCTGACGGAGGCAGTATTGAGGTCCGAAGTGATGCCGCGTGCGCATCGCATTACTGATGGTGTTGAAGCTGACGCGTTGTTGGGCACGACGGACGCGCCTCCTTCTTGCAGGTCGAGGTTTGTGGGGAAGGATCCTGCGCAGGGCCGTGCGTTGATCACGTGAGCTGGTGTCGCGCTAAGAGGCCCGGGATCCACACGTTCCAAGCCCAGCAATTCATTCATTGTGCGACGCTGAGACCAATCTTCCGCAGACCGCGCTTTGACATCAGTTATTCACTTTGGGTGCTCTTGGTTATCAGTATCTGGTCATTCTTTCCCTCGCAATGGCTCCATCACACACAACTGGCAATAGCTGCCAAACAATCGACCTCACAGGTTCCTCACCAGAGCCGGAAGACATGCCCCAGCAACGACCACAACAGCGGCCACAGCCAAGGCCGCCCCAAAGACTAGTTCAAATGTACCTCAAGCCCGAGCCACGCCCCTACGGTATGGCAAATGTCGGGATGGAAGCTAGGCATCCGATGGCTTCCGCGCGAAACCCTGTAGGGCCACAGCAGGCGCGCCCTATCCACCCTGAGCATATCAAACAGATCATCGAGACAGCCGACCCGCGCGCTGTGCAAAAGGTGTTGCTCGACCTTTGCCAAATGTCACCGGCCTTTTCCGGCGCCCTCGTCCGTGGACTTGCGCCTCACTCTGCATCCGCCCAGAGCCTGATCAGCCAGCAACGGATGCAGTCGCATCAGCCCAAGGTCAAGATTCAAGATGAGGATGATAGCGACGAACTCTATGAGGCGGCGAAAAGAAACCTCGTGAAGCCTACAGTTCCGACCCCAAGTCACAACAGCTTGCCTGCACAATCCCGCGAGATCAGCGGAAGTCGAGCTACATCACGGCCTCATGGTTCTGAGTTCGCATCACGAGTGAAGCGGGAGCCACGTGAGCGCTCACAGTCAAGTTCAGACGGCGACATGCACCTTCCTGGAGCCTATCCACGCTCAACCACGTTACGCACGCCAGTCCGGAAACCCTCAGGCCAATCATCCTCTGTCAACCAGACTCCAAGGCTGTTGGCCAGAGACACGCCACGGTCAGCGAGCATCAACAAACAGCCTGCGCCTTTGATAAAGACCTGCACAGTGTGTCACGAACAGATAGTGGACGTGAATGCGCCCTGCGTTTCTCATTCTGGGAAGAGGTACAGGCCACCGGGCGGGTCAATAAAATGGGACTGCTGTCAGGCAGACATTGATGATCCCGGTTGCGAGTTCAACGGGCAACATACGACTGAAGAAGGGCTCGAAGAAGACGCGTTGGTACAAAGGAAACGACCAAGTGCGTCTCCGGTTCCAAGTCGTGCCACACAAAAGAGACCCAGAGCATTCTAGCGAAACTGTTAGGGGTTTGCCAGGCAGTTGGTCGCTCTTTGCTTACAGCGGGACGCAATAGATCCACGCAATGGGTCCTCTTCTGCGATCGTTCTTTTTGTTCTTCAGTTCCAGTCGTCTTCGGAAGACACTTCGCACGTCATTAGTTCATTGCTAGAAGCATAGCGTAGGCGTTTCGTTACTAGGCAGCATCGATATGGCTGCGGAGATCTCAGGCAGCTGCATTACAAAGACTTGTGTCCGTTCTTGATGAGCATGTGCATCACTAAGCCTGCGTTGCCCTTCCTGATTTTCACGAATCTGGCCTCGAAAACTCCACCATTGTCTCTAGGGCCCCAAACTGTTCACCTTCCCATCATGGCCAGCGATTACTCCCGTCGCTTCTCGTGTTCCGGTGCAGGTCTACGCTTCAGGAGACTGTGCCTCACCGTTGTTCTGAAACCCATACACATCTCTTCCAATCCCTAATCTGATGCTTATGACGCGACGGCCACTATTTCTGTTGAGTCACTGCATGCAAGAAACAATCCGACCAGGTCTGCAAATTACATCAAGATTAAAATATGCAAAGTAGGTAACCTAACCTTAATGTAGACTCTAGGGTGTTTATCTTTTTCCTAAGCCGACGTGGAGCGCTCAAGAGGCTAAGAGGATACTGCGAACTGATGGTCCTTTATGCCAATCGTTCATCTGTAGACACGTCTCCAATAGTCTTCGTTCTGAATTCGCTGTGAGCTAGACAACGACCCTTAGTATTCTGCAAGTGTTATCATTACAGGCGGGCAATTTGTCAGTGAATTAGCGGATGTTGCTTGACCGTTATCTCTACGATGCCTATTCTGACTCGTTCCTCACGCGTGACGTCATGCCAAGTGTCTTGCCTGCATTATCATCGTCGCGCTAACCTCCATCTCTCCCACTTCTGCACCCGCCGTCAGGACGCGATAGACATGTAACGGACATACGCACTTTGCGTTCCAGAAAACACGATACCAAGCCGAAGATGCATTGGTATAAAGCTGACAGGTTGCCTCATGAGCATTGCCCCACGAAGTCCGCGCGCCGCACATCATGAAGGCCGCGCTGTTCCTATCGCTTGCAGCTCTTGTCAGAGCGAGTACGGTTTTCCAACTCAACTCTACGTCGTATTATTCTCCAGATCTTACCGCAGCGACGCTTAGCTTTGGCGACCAGTCAAGTCCCAACGCAGAGCCTTTGCCAATCACTTATCTGACCTTTTCGGACCCTATTGTCACCGCGGAGCTACTGGAGTTCACGATATCCTCATTTCTATCGCACGACGATGTATACTCGGAATCATTCCTCCATACACTAGTGCTTGGCGGTTCAAGCACTCTTTCAGACAATGCACATGCATATCTTGGCTCGATCGGGTGCAGCATGATCTACACTGCGTTGGACGCCGGCGTAGCATCCGGCCCATATCTACTTCACCCATCAAAGGCTATCACCAAAGTCTACCGGTTGTATTGGGATCACAGTTTCGCTTTTGTGGAGTCGGTCACTGAAGGTCAGAATGGGACTTTCCTTCCTGTCACAGGTCTGGCGTTGACAGATGCCTACGGAGCTCTTAGTATCGCAGTGCCGTCACGATTATACTATCCAGCACCCACAGAAGACAAGCCTTTGTCGGGTAAACGCCTGGGCGTGAAGGATATTTACGATCTGAAGGGTATCCGAACGAGCGGTGGGAATAGAGGCTACCGCGACCTTGTCGATCCTGCTCCCGAGAGCGCGGCAGCTTTACAAAAGCTTATCGACATGGGTGCGGTGGTGATTGGAAAGACAAAGACTACCCAGTTTGCGCTTGGGGAACGACCAACAGCCGACTACGTGGATCAGCTGGCACCCTTCAACCCTAGAGGAGACGGTTACCAGCATCCCCAGGGTTCATCAGCCGGTTCTGGAGCTGGACTTGCATCGTATGACTGGATGGATATTGCAACTGCCTCCGATACTGGAGGCTCTGTTCGCTTACCGGCCATGGCAAACGGCCTGTTTGGCATGCGTATCACCAACGCCTCACTGCCACTGAAGGGAATCTTGCCCATCTCAGCAATATTTGATACGCCGGGCGTACTGGCTAGGTCGGCGAAGCTCCTCCAAGCAGTGCATAGGAAATGGTACCCAGCCAAGGAATACACATCCTACCCTAAGCGCATCATCTTGCCTGATCTGTTTTGGCCTACAGTCAACAGCACGAGTATGCCTATATTTGATTCGTTCATCTCACAGCTAGCTACTTTTCTTGACGCCAATTTGACAACGTTCAACGCTAACGCCAGTTTCAATGCATACGCGAACATCTCTGAAGGCATAGCATCCTATCTCGGCTCTACATACTCCAACATTACCAACGTGGATCAGTACCGCGACCTTGGTCTACCTTCCAGGGAGCAGTATATTGCCAAGTTTGGCAAAGCGCCCTACTGGAACCCGCAAACACGAGCGCGATGGAATCGGGCCGCGACCTTGCCGACCTCTAGCTATACCATTGCTATGGAGCGCACGCACACCTTCCAGACATGGTTTCGAGAGACGTTGACGCCATCATGCGAGTCAACGTTGGTGCTGTATCCTATGGGCGCCGGTACGGAAGACTACCGCGACATCTATACAGCCGCTCCAGGTGGTATATTTGCTGCTGGATTACCCGGCAACCAGATGTCAGTTCTGGCTGCGCTACCCGACTACACAATACCGATTGGCGCAAGGTAAGCTTGACTGTACGAAGTGCATTTAAGACATATACTGACTTCGTACCTCTACCATTGCAGGACGTATGTCAGCAGGGTTACTGAGAGAAACGAAACGCTCCCCGTTACCATTGGTATGGTAGCTGCGGCAGGTTACGACCACATGCTCATGGATTTGGTTGCTGAACTTGCCGAAGTTGGAATAATTACCGAAAGTGTCAAAACCGGGTCTAGCATTTACTAGGGAAAGCAGAAATATACCCATGGGGCTTAATACACCGAGAACCCGAAGTACGTGCCCGTACGAGCTGCGCATTCAACGATTCCACATCACAAGACCTGCACTCATTGGTTCTTGCTGTGTGCCATGCTTTCCTACCGTCCGAACACATCCCCGCTGTGATTGGCGGACTATCTTTTAGGTACCCTGTCGATCACAACGTCTGGGGTAAATGAAGAGAGTAATCCAAGGTGTCATTCACCAGCAACGCGCTACGAACTAGCTAGCTGATCTCGCCGCCTCTGCGCATGCCGCGTGGAGCTTTCATATTACATCTCTTTTCCTTCAGTCTCCGACATTCTTCCTACCCCGTTTTCTTCGCCTTGAAGATGATCTTCTGCACTGTTCTGCCCCTGCTAATATCCTCCGTCGCCGCCCTCGCTTTCCCGGGCGCAGAAGGCTTTGGGCGAAACGCTGTCGGCGGTCGTGGTGGCACTGTCTATGTTGTTACAAACCTCAATGATAGCGGTGAAGGGTCTCTCCGCGAGGGCGTTTCCCAGAGCGACCGCACAGTCGTGTTCTCGCTAGGTGGGTTGATCAAGATTAAAGAGCGCATGGTCGTGGCCAAACGCGTGTCTATCCTTGGGCAAACAGCACCAGGCGATGGTATCACAGTTTACGGAAATGGGTGGAGTTTCAGCAACGCCGACGATGCAATCGTCCGGTATTTGCGCATCAGAATGGGAAAAGGAGGAGCTAGCGGAAAAGACGGTATAACGATCGCAGAGGGGAGCAACATGATTTTCGACCACGTCTCCGTCTCCTGGGGTCGCGACGAGACTTTTTCGATCTCCGGCAACGACGTCGGCAACATCACCATTCAAAACAGTATCATCGGGCAGGGTCTGCAAACACACTCGTGTGGCGGGTTGATGCAAACGAATCTCGGGAAAGGTATCAGTCTGTTTCGCAACTTATACATTGACAACAAGACGAGAAACCCGAAGGTCAAGGGTACCAATGACTTCACCAATAACGTGATCTACAACTGGGGCGGGGGTGGAGGATACATCGCTGGAGATTCGAGTGCAGCAAGCGAGGCGAATATCGTTGGGAATTATTTCATCAGCGGCCCCAGTACCAGCGTCACGGCGTTTACGCGCGGGAATGAGAACTTCAAGGGCTACGTTGAAGGCAACTTCTATGACTCTAACCGCGATGGCACGTTGGACGGAACGGAGCTAGGTGTGTCCTCCAGCAACTATGGAGGGATGGCTATCCAGACAACCAAGTTTCCCTTCCCAGCGCCCGAAAAGACCCTATCGGCGGAAGATGCGCTGAAGCTCGCCGAAAGTTCTGTCGGTGCGAGTAAAGTGCGCGATGCTGTTGACACGCGACTCATTGAGGAATTGAAGAGCTACGGGAAGACGGGTGAGCTGATTAGTGACGAGAATGCTAGCCCCATGGCTGGGCCTGGAACTATCGACGGTGGAAAGCAGTGGGCGGATGCCAATGGAAATGGCATACCTGACGACGTTGAGGATCAGTTCTCGGATGTGGAAGAGTGGGCTAATAGTTTAGTACCAAGTGGTTACTAGATAGCAAATCGCGGTTGGGCGCGTATCGCAAAAGACTGCATCAGTTTCTTTCGAGATGGTTAGGTTGATTAATCATTTATCTACTGTAAAGAATGTGTACGTGAAGTGAAGAACGACTAAGCATATGCCAATACCGAAAACGCAGCCTGGCTGATAAGATACGAAGTTTCATCTTCGCATCAAAGCCTCTCTCGTAGCCACCTATGCGGAAGCAATTTGAGCCCTCAAGAAGATGGGTGCCTGTACAGCAGCCTCATCCGAGTATAGGAGATGCGCAGGTGTGATGATAAGCGTTCCAGTGCAGACCAAGTCGCCTGTCTCGCAGTACACCCTAGTCTTGCTGGTTGGGAAGCCGGGGATTCTTCCGCCATCTGGAACGTTGTTAGAGACTGTTGTATAGGATGTTAAGAGAAGGAAAGAGCTTACTTTGAAGGTTCTTGGTGTAGCCAAACAGCACTACGCCCTTGATCTGGTTCTGTACAGCAGCACTGAGACCGGGAATAGCGTTCGACATGACTGCAGCGCCTTGAGAGTAGCCACCTGCAGTGATGGGCGTGTTGGGGCACTTGCTCGCAGCAAGGTTGAAGAGACGCTGGGCTTCGCGGATGGCGGCTTGAGAAGTACCGGCTGGAAGCGTGTTCTCTGCAATACCAGCAGTGTATGGGCCACCTACACCCTGAATCCAGGTAGTGGATGCTCCATATGCGCTTTCGAGAGCGCTGGCTGTGAAAGGACCAACTAAGGCGCCCATGTTGCCAGCTTCAGTGCTGCCTCTTGCAAAGATGAAGATGGTTCTTGGGCAAGCAGCGCTACTGCCGCTCTCCAGCTCATTGCGAGTAGCGCTTGACTGGCGAGCTTCGAGTGTAATGGGCTGGGGCGCATCCGCCGGCGCAGAGGCGGGTACAGCGATTGGGGAAGAAAGAACGAGGGAAGCAAAAAGAGAAAGAATGGTGACGGACTTCATATTGATGATTGTAGTAACGATGGGTATTGCCTGGTGGCTCTGAAGAGAGAAGTAGTAGAAGGAAGCTGAAAGTTGGCTGTTTGACTGTGCTGTGATCCTTCTCATAAGGGTTCCCTCCTTCCCTTTATATTGTTCTTAGCATGATCAAGATATTGGTTCCAAATCAACATCCCTCGCGCCTACCTCGGTATCTAGACTGCCTAGAATCTTGTAGTGCATCTCTAATAGTGGTTGACGGACGTGAACTCCCCAAAAGAGCGCTGTGACCGTCCTACCAGGTGTCACAACAATTCGAGATACCCTTGGCGTTTCTGCTCTTACCCTCATAGGCAAGACCTTGACTTGAAGAGATCTAGTGAGCAGATGCAGAGCCTTTGGGATGGTAGAGCATAAACGGCAACAGTGGTCCGAAGTATTGTGACACCTGGTAGTCCTTTGTCTCCAAGACCGAGATTTGGTATTTGGCGTTGACCTTCGAGCATCTGACCAGTAGGCATCGTGTTTGGATCTGGGCTTCCTCGGCCCAGGAGATGGTGCCTGGGATGTTTTCCTGGGCATGCATGTCCGGGAGACATGGATAGAGCTGATGGTGGGATGAACTGGTCGCGTGGTAGTCGGACGAGGATTTGCTGCTGGGTTCATCGGACGCTATTGGACTTTCAGGTCAAGCTCGCGAATCGAAGCCGAGGCACGGTTGAATCTACATGGATGCGATGAAGTCCTGGCCTGAGTGAGATGGAAGCTCGTGATGTGGGGTACATACACTGAAGCTCTCTTTCGCGGGAATATACCCCGCATATCTACTACGAGAGCGCGCTAAGGCCCCCAGATGATGTGTAGCGAATGGTGTCGGGGCAAGATACCCGATTCTGACGTTTGCCGTCTTTACAGGCGTTGGAGGTTTTGGTGTTGTTTACCTCGCTCCTATAGGCTAAGGGAAGAACGGCATGAAGGATTGGTACCTTCCGCATAGGGACACCGTGCATGCAACGCATACAAACAATACTCAGATCATCTTTGGGTTGAAGGATTTAGTTTAGGCAGTCCTTCCAAAAAGAAAGGGAGGTTATCGGATTACGGCTAAAATAGCATGCCTGCGTGGGATATCCCGCGTCTATCCACAAGCTAATGTTGCATCAAAGCAGCTGCCGTATGTACCTTGTTGGGCGTTCTGGTTCGTCGCTTCGGAGGACTCAGTGGTACGTAAGACAGAACCCTCGCGCTGGCGCATCCCAGAATGAAGACGAACGCATAGAACGCCAGCAGATTCTGAAATACGGCCAACGTTGTCACGCCATAGATCAATGTACACAACGGCCAGAAGAATTCCGATACGTATGTCCATACGTGAACTGCGAAGCGACGAAGACTGTTCAAAGACATTTCAACTTGTGCTCGATAGGCGTGGAGGTACTCGATTGTCGTTGGAGGCGCAAGTATTCTGTCCCAGTGTTCTCGTCGCGCCTCGTGTGTCCATGTACGCACGCCAAGAGGTCCGGCGGCCCTAGTCTCGAGAAGATATCTCCATATAATCTTCAGCTGCCTATCCCAGCTATAAGGCTTCTCCTGTTGCATGAATCTCTCCCATTTCTTTGCAGTATTGACTGCCATCTCTTCGGTGACCTGAAACCATTCCTTGTGTGCTTTGGTCTCCTTGTTCGCGTCGACGCGCCCGTGATGTTCGCAATGGAATGGTGCAGAGCAGTTCTCCAGGTCGATATGCACAAGCTTCTCTAGGCGACCACAATGATCAATCTCGTGATCTGACACGTGAATCACACTGGGCAGGAAGCCACAGGCTCTTTCGTGCTCAATGATTCGGTCTCTATAGGCTCGTTTCGTCTTTCCGATCTTGTAACCTCTGGATTTGTTGTTTGGGTCACATAGAACATAGATGACCCCTTTCCGATCGCCAGGAGTCGGATTCTTGAGCAGCTCTCCATACAAGCTGTCGTGGGTAGATCTGGCGGTCTTTGGGGTCAGGACTGGTGAGAAGCCATCGTGCTCTTGATGAGGTTGCTGATTCGCTTCGGCGTGAGAGGGTGATGAGGAATACCGCACTTCCGATGTGGATAGCCCATCCACTTCAAGACCTTGACTACCATCACGCCGTGGACGCTTACGTGGGATGCAGTCATGATGAATTCGTGCGACGTCAACGATGATTTGTTTTGGGCGTCCGATGGAGTCAGAGACTGTTCGGGATGGCTGACTGGAAGACTTGTCCCGAGTAGTTGACGCAGCCAGGCGTTGCGATCTGGCGATGGCTTTGCGAATTGGTGAACCAGTAGAGGTCAGGGTGGGGTCGCTTTGGGTATCCATGAAGCGCGGTCTGGGTGTGGGAGGTTGAATTGACTTGACTTTTGAACTGGTAGGTATGTGTCTTGTTTCTAGCTGCGAGTCTTTCCCAAGGCCATGTAGCTTGTAACCCGAAGAATTGCTGAAAGAGGTATCGAGAACCATGTCTGTAAGCAGGGTTGATAGATGAAAGACGGAGTAGATGATCGATGTGTACAGAGGGAGGAATCTGGGCTGGATGCCATTTAAACCTATGCGCTGAATTTATCAACGCGTTGTAGGATCACTTCCCCAGCAACTGCAGAGTTCGCATGAAGATACGTGTGGCGGTGCTGAATGTCACTGCTGTGCCGAATGCTTGGATTGTTTCGTAGGCTTCATAGCAGCCTTGCATCGGCGGCCGAGCAGAATAACACGATGAGCACTCTTAGCTCCTAGCACTATCTCGGTCTTTTTGTTAGCATCGATAGCAAGACTCGCGAAGAATCGCTGTGTGCAGCAGACCAGTGATGGGCGCGTTGGTACGGACCCAGGGACACTTGTTACCCACGCGCTGCATTCCACGTGCAGATACAGCGGCTGTGCCCATCCCACAGTTACTACGAACAGCTAGTGCGGCTGCCTGCGGTATCAGAATCGCTCCTGCTGTACGCAAAGCTGCGGGTGTCGGAAGCTCGTAGCCTTGCTGCCAACGGAGCGATGTTTCCGCGAAGCAGCAGTCGACGGCCATGATTCGCTATTTTTCGAGGCTGGATGCGCCCGAGACGTTTACGGTGTTGTGGCTGTGGCGGTGGTTTCTACGAAGAAGCAATTTGCTGTGAGGGCGACAGGAGGCAGCGACGTTTCGCGCGTCATCACGCGCTCTTTGGCGAGGGATCACAAAGCCGAGCCGGAACAACAAACGCAAGGTAATAGCACCAAGGTCGTTGGGAAGCAGTCGTGCCGCATACCGCATCTATCTCTGGGTACTTCCGAAATTTGTACCCTTTTGTGGCATCTTAGCGCAGACGCGTCGGGTACGGGCAAGCAGCGCGATGTCATCAAGTTGTACATCCACTATAGTTTGACCGGTGACGATGTCCGCGTTCTCAACTGTTTTCTGGCGCGATGACGCGTTGATACTCTTCGCGCAGCTGCCAACGGCGCAATGCTTTGATCGGCATGCATCAGTCGGTTGGCGAACTGCATATGAGGTGTAGCTCTGGTCTCACTGACTGGAGAGGGAGGTGGTGCTGCGATACTATGATGCGTGCAGATACCTCAATGGCTCCTCCGGCTTGGGGAACAAGGAATGTGGGGCGCGCTAGTATTCCCGGCGTTAGTCCGCGTTCCGAGATGTCGCCTCAGGGCTTTGAACATGTTCACCGACACTCGCATGCTGGCCCTTTCCTTTCACTGATGCCTAGCGGAGTTGCGTAAGATCTCGTCTACATGCTATTCTCTGCTCACCCAAGTTTACATCAGCTGGGGCTAAAGTGGAAGGAAGTGTTGTCCAAGTAGGTGCTGACGGGCATCTGAAAACGGTGCATGTCATGGCGTCCTTCCAGATTCCACTATCATCGGCTCCAACATTTCCTGACACACCACCAATATCGCACTGCCATCGCATTTGGGTCAGTACGGTCACTTACGCCTCTTCTGGATATTGCTGATCTCACCAGAATACGGAAGCAGCCCGATTCACGCCATGTGCTCTGCCATTCGTAGCAACAATACCAGCCATACTGGCAGCATTGGT